CGCAGTGCAACACTAAGCAGTGCCCCTGTTACCTGGCGGTACGGGAATGTGATCCTGACCTCTGTTTAACGTGCGGAGCAGCTGACCACTGGGACAGCAAAAACGTCTCCTGCAAGAACTGCAGCATTCAGAGAGGATCCAAAAAAGTACGGAGACGCTCGGGCCGTGCCCATCCCCTGGGCTTTGAGGTGGCTGGTGTTTTCAGGCCAGAGAGCTGCCCTTGAGCTTACAGTGAGCTGCTCCTAAGCTCGGGCCCTGTATGCGTCCCCTCCGAGCCCGTACCTGGGGGTAAGGCGGCAGCGGAGCAGCCCCGTTTCCCCACTCGGGCTTTGCTCGCGCGAGGCCGCCGTTGCACAGCGAGGGCTCGGCCGCCTTTCCCTGCGCCAGCCCCAGGGTACGCCTCACAAGGCCATACAACCGCACACCAACCAGCCCCGAGCAGAAGGACGACTCGGAGCCAGGCTTGCCTAAACCTTGCGGGTTTTTCTCCCTCGCAGCACTTGCTGTTGGCGCCCTCGGATGTGGCGGGCTGGGGGATTTTCATCAAGGACCCTGTGCAGAAGAACGAGTTCATCTCCGAGTACTGCGGCGAGGTAAGGGTGGGGAACGCGTAACCGGCGAAGCTGCGTGTGGGACGGGGACCCAGGCATTGCCCCGAACGCGGCGTCACGCTCAGAGGGGGGGACGTGGTGGAGTGGGGCGGCAGGAGGCTGCACACCTGGGAGCTGGGTGGTTGAAACGACACGGGTTCGACACCGGTTGGCGGCAGGAGAGGCTGGAGTGTCATTGCGCTCGGATGCTGTTCCCGTGCAGACAGGCCCGGGTGACATTCAGCAGGCGTTGTCGCAGCCCGTAGGAACAAGAACCACTGACCTGGGGGCTGAGAGGGGGTTCTTGCCATTCCTTCCGCTCTGACAGAACTTGGGTATCTGGGGCTTCCGACCGTGGGCCGCTGCAGTTAGAGAGAGGAAGGGTGGGCTCCCGCAACTCCCGTTTCTTTCAGATCATTTCTCAGGACGAGGCCGACAGAAGAGGGAAAGTGTACGACAAGTACATGTGCAGCTTTCTGTTTAACCTGAATAACGGTACGTACGTGCCAGCCCGGGCCCAGTTGCCTCCAGCCCTGCTCTTCCGCAGGCAGGTGGTGAAATTCCTCACCCTTCCCACCGCTAAAATCCAACCGCAGCAGGTGCTGACCACAGAGGCTTGTTTGGAGGGGACTCATCTGTGATTTCTGTGGCTTTTTTCCCTAATTTCCCTAGATTTTGTGGTTGATGCAACACGCAAGGGCAACAAAATCAGATTCGCGAACCACTCAGTCAACCCCAACTGCTATGCAAAAGGCAAGTCTGGCGCTCCCTCGCCCCCGGCGCCGTGCCAGACGGGTCCTCCTTTAGGATGAGTTCTCCTAAGTTTTCACCTTTCTGTCACGCAGTTATGATGGTGAACGGGGATCACAGGATAGGAATATTCGCTAAAAGAGCCATTCAGACCGGTGAAGAGCTGTTCTTCGACTACAGGTTGGTGGATGCATTTGGTAACCTCTTGCGCTCCCAAACCGGGTTCATTTTGCAGCGTTTACACACCCAATTCTCGTGGCAGGCCCCAGCAGCTCTGCCGCAGGCCCCTCGCTTTCTTCTGAGCCAGAGACATGGTTAAAACTGCCTTCAGCTCAGAGCAGCTGTGGATGCCCCATCCCTGGAAGCGTTCAAGGACGGATGAGGTGGGAGCGACCTGGCCTGGTGGAGGGTGACCCCCTCGAGAAAGGCCGTCGCTTGCCACGAGCTCAGACAAGCTGTAGCGTGGGGAGGGAGCAGAATTCCAGCATTCTGCTTCCTCTTGGCCCAGCTCCTCCAAAAGCAGTTTCTGGTGCACCGTTCCGCACCTGCAAATTCCCACAGGGAATAAAGGCCCGGGCTGGGGCGGAAGATAGAGGGAAGGGGAGCGTACTCCTGGCCAGGTGCCGTCGTGTCGGAACACGGGTGAGCTGAGTGGCACCGGTTCTCACTCTTCCCTCTTTCATTTCAGATACAGCCAAGCTGATGCCCTCAAGTATGTGGGCATCGAAAGAGAAATGGAAATCCCTTGACACCAGCTACCTCCTCGGTAAACAAACAGCTGCCTTATCTTCAGGAATTTCTAGTACTGTGGGCAAAATGCTAGAGAAATCAACCCGATGCAATTTGGAATTCTGTGTTTGTCAAGTACTGTAACAGTAATTTATAGTAACAAGTTGAAACCAACTTTTTATTGCCTTCTCACCAGCTGCAAAGTGTTTTGTACCGATGAACTTTTGCAATAACGTGGTGTGGTACACGGGGGGTTTTTTCCAACCTTGAATAAAGGATACTTGAACTTCTTTGTTTTTACTGGAATCGAGTCGGAATTTTGTGTCGAGGCAGCAACGCCAGCACTCGCTTTCTAGGCAGGCGTTGTCCGCTTCCGGTCACGCGGTAAGGAATGCCATGCTGGGCCCTGCGCAGGAGGCAGCAGCCAGGCTCTCTCACACCCCCTCGCCTTGGAGCCCCCCCAGCCTGGGGGCTGTAGCTCAGGGCCACCCTCTTGTCACGACAGCACCTGCCCCTGCGTTGTTTTGCCAAGCCCCATCAGCCCTTACTCCGGCCTTTAGCAGGAGATGCCTTGCCTGGGAGCAAAAAAGGGTCCTCCCCCCAGAAGGGGGTGGAGGTAGCGGGCGTTAAGCGTCAGGGGCAGCCTGAACCTTACTCATTCCAGGCGGCGTTCAGGCAGCTGGGCTGTGTTTCACAGCAACTCCAACCCGCGCGTTCCAACACCTTCTGTGCGGCGGGGGAACGCGAGATCGGCACCACGTGTCCCTTTCGGAGCACCGACACGCCCTCTGGGACAGGAGGAGCCCGTGCAGTTGGCGCTAGGTGACCATTCATTTCTCCAGCCACCACAACGGGCTTTAAATCACCAAAAAAGGGGGCAGAGGAGGAAAAGCAAAACCCATTTCTCTAGCTTTCATAACCATTATACCTTTTATTTACATTTAGAAAGATAAGTCATGAAACTTAAAACAATAAAACCAAATGCAACTTGTACAGAAATCTTTTAATTTCTTTTTTTTTTTATTATTTATCACACATTAAAAAATGAAACACACTATACAAATGGGTTGTTCATAGCAGGTTACACATGGGTCCATTCAGACTCGCTCTCCAAGTGCTGCCAACGTTTCTAGGAGCTGCCCCCGCCGGCAGCTGGTTTACCCTCTAGCCAATGTATAGATTTAAATGCAGTAGCATGCAACCCTTAGAGGAGAAGGGGTTGATTCCTTTCTGTTCTTAAATTAGGTTAAATGGCATCGGTGTCCGTATTTACATACTTGAAATGTATCAATCCTGAGCAGTTCTGATGTAAGTCTGAGACTGGCTGGTGGGAGTCCTGGTCTCAGGTGTTAAAAAGGGAGGTCCAAACGGCAGCAGGGCGGCTGCTATGAAGTTCCTTTCGCTCTTCCCGTCACATACCTATTTGCCGAGCGTCACACAGTCACCTCGTCGCTAAGAAAACGTTAAGCCAAGTAGCTGTAGGTGTCCTTCTCACCGTCCACGCGTTCCAAGTACTCCTTCTCGATCAGGATGTCGATGCATTTCTGCAGGAGAGACGAGCGTGAGCGGCGTGACGCTGGCAGGGAAAACCTCCCCGGCAGCGCGTGAGCCGCCCGGGAGCCAGCCACAGGCACGAACCACGGCAACGCGCTCTCCCCTTCCTGCCCGGATCCTGGAGTTGCTAACCCGCACCACGCGCTGCCTTGATGCCGCTCCAGGGCAGCGGCCGACCAGCGGTCGCTCTGCTGAGCAGCTTCACGGCGGGAGAGCAAAGTCCGGCTGCGACGCCGGATGCGGGACGGAGCTGCCCGTTTCAGGCCCGGACCGGTGCCAGGTCACACAACGGCTCTCCACGGCCCCTCTTTGCCCCACCTCACCCCTTGGTCGTGGGGGTGGAAACCACTGGTGGGAGCACTCAAACAAAGGTAGCATCCCCCTCCCCAACATTCTCATTGCAGAAGAGCCCAGGAAGCTGCTCTGCGGAGCCAGCCCACAAGCATTCCCACGACCGGGAGAGCAGGAGCACGAGGTGAGCCTGGAGCAGCGGCTGCTGCAGGCTGGCACTGACACGAAAAGGGGGCAAGAAGCTACTCTTACCCGCCAACAGTTCGGCACACACACGTTACCCTAAGAGAAACGCAGTGTTTCTGGTTCAGTCTCCCCACTCACTACCCATCCCACCTCCTCTCCGTCCCCGTTTCACTCAGAAGCGCGTATTTTTCCCCCATCTCCCCCTCAGCGCCTGGAGGGTGGGCTCGGAGACGCCGCTCTCCCCTACCTTAATTACTGGAACCCGTGGCTTGAACCTGGAGGACAGCTGCGTCAGCACTTCTCCAAGCAGCTGCTGGTGTTTCAGAACCTTCCTCATTTTCATGATTCTCACAATGGCAGCCTGCAGAGCAAAGCGGGAGAGGCGCGCTCAGGGGCCAGGCACTGGTGCTGCGGCCCA